GAAATCAGATTTCATCTTTTCGACGTCGTTTGACATTTTTGCCATTCAAGGTCTTAAATAATATAACATTATTAACAGCACGCATCGTGAAGTACATCATTTCTTGGGGTACGTGTCAAATAAAAAAAAAATTAAACGTGTTAACAATATAATGATCTTCAATCACAGGGGCTTGCTCCCGTAGTTTAAATGATAGTTATTAAAAAATCATATAAAGTTTTAGTTGTTAATTAATGACTTTTTAATGAGTTTTTTTTTTTCAGATTAAGAGCAAGCCCCCGTGCTTGCTTCAATCACAAATTGTTACATGAAGAGTTTAAATCTGAAATTTAAACTTACGAGCATCTATAACTTATGTGTTTAAAATCATTTTTAATAACTTTCTCGTGCACTTACTGGTAGAAAATATTTTATTGTATTTTGCAAATTCACATCGATTCATTGTATTTTTTTTTACTAAATATCTAAACATTATTTTGTTTTTATTTTTTTCTGAAAGTTTTTCTTTGACTTTTTTGTACAATGTATTTGGAATTAACCGTTCAATTTTCATATGTATCTCTTTAGTACGCGAAGGCGAAGAATTTCGTGTTTATGAACTGAAATTGAAAGTATAGTTGCGCTAGATTCTAAAATTGCCCAAATTTATTTTACCTTTGATATTCCATTTTATATACTGTTAAAATCATATTTTTTAATGTTATCAGGACTAATCAGAGAGGCAAGCATTAAAAGTGCTAAATTTGTCTGAAAATCTTAATGTGTCGGTACAGCACAAATGCTACTCGTCCGTCTTGATAAAAAAGGAACAAAGTTTATAAAATTTTATGAATTAATCGATATCCAAGGACCGTATATTTGTACAAAATGTATCAAAGAGAACGAGACTTAGATAGTCGACATGTGTGTCTTGTTCGTTCAATTTCATTTGGTATTCATGTTCATTTTAACATACATAGCAAACCAAAGAAAAAATACAAATGTATTACTATTTATATTTTCCCCTAAGATTTTATGTACCGTTGACAGTTGGGGGAATGAAACCTCAAACTTGTTTTGCAACTTGCCATACATCATCTCATTCAAACTGAGTACAAAATCTTATGTAAGCTGAGAAAATCTGACTACTTTCAAAATGACGTCAGAGCTGGAGACCGGTCCTTCGGATGAGACTATCACATATTGCAGTAGATGCTGGCAGAAAAAAAAACCTCCCTGCTCAATGGTCATAAGTTCTGGGTACAGGTCTAAATTTGCAGCCTTCCACCGACTATTGTTGGCGTCCCACAAGAGAAACAAAACTGCATTTCTATTCACAGGAGGAACAGCACTCAAATAAATATTTTTCAAATGCCATTTTGTAAATTTTGAATTTACTGGTTGTATGTAATTATCACACTAGCAGCCTGGCAAATTGTAATTTTAGCTCACCTGAGCCAAAGGCTCAAGTGAGCTTTTCTGATCAAAATTTGTCCGTTGTCTGTCGTCGTTGTCGTTGTTGTTGTAAACTTTTCACATTTTCATCTTCTTCTCAAGAACCACTGGGCCAAATTCAACCAAACTTGCCACAAAGTATCCTTGGGTGAAGGGGATTCAAGTTTGTTCACATGAAGGGCTACGCCCTCTTTCAAGGGGAGATAATTAGGAATTAGTGAAAAAATAATGGCATCATTTAAAAATCTTCTTCTCAAGAACCACTGGGCCAGGAAAGATGAAACTTATGTGGAAACATCCTCAGGTAGTGTAGATTCAAGTTTGTTCAAATCATGACCCCCGGGGGTAGGGTGGGGCCACAATGGGGGATCAAAGTTTTACATAGAAATATATAGGAAAATATCTTTAAAAATCTTCTTCTTAAGAACAGCAAAGCCATGATTGGTCATATTTATATGGAAGCATCCTCAGGTAGTGTACATTCAAGTTTGTTCAAATCATGACCCCCGGGGGGTAGGGTGGGGCCACAATGGGGGATCAAAGTTTTACATAGAAATATATAGGAAAATATCTTTAAAAATCTTCTTCTTAAGAACAGCAAAGCCATGATTGGTCATATTTATATGGAAGCATCCTCAGGTAGTGTAGATTCAAGTTTGTTCAAATCATGACCCCCGGGGGTAGGATGGGGCCACAATGGGGGATCAAAGTTTTACATAGAAATATATAGGAAAATATCTTTAAAAATCTTCTTCTTAAGAACACCAAAGCCATGATTGGTCATATTTACATGGAAGCATCCTCAGGTAGTGTAGATTCAAGTTTGTTCAAATCATGACCCCTGGGGGTAGGGTGGGGCCACAATGGGGGGGGTCAAAGTTTTTCATAAGAGAATATAGAAAAAAAACTTTAAAAATCTTCTTCTCAAGATAAGCAAAGACATGAATGTTCATATTTATTGGAAGCATCCTCAGGTAGTGTAGATTCAAGTTTGTTCAAATCATAACCCCCGGGGGTAGGGTGGGGCCACAATGGGGGATCAAAGTTTTACATAGAAATATATAGGAAAATATCTTTAAAAATCTTCTTCTTAAGAACAACAAAGCCATGATTGTTCATATTTATATGGAAGCATCCTCAGGTAGTGTAGATTCAAGTTTGTTAAAATCATGATCCCCGGGGGTAGGGTGAGGCCACAATGGGGGATCAAAGTTTTACATAGAAATATATAGGAAACTATCTTTAAAAATCTTCTTCTTAAGAACACCAAAGCCATGATTGGTCATATTTATATGGAAGCATCTTCAGGTAGTGTAGATTCAAGTTTGTTCAAATCATGACCCCTGGGGGTAGGATGGGGCCACAATGGGGGGGGGGGGTCAAAGTTTTTCATAAGAGAATATAGAAAAAGAAACTTTAAAAATCTTCTTCTCAAGATAAGCAAAGACATGATTGGTCATATTTATATGGAAGCATCCTCAGGTAGTGTAGATTCAAGTTTGTTCAAATCATGACCCCCGGAGGTAGGGTGGGGCCACAATGGGTGATCAAAGTTTACAGAGGAATATATAGGAAAAAATCTTTCTCTCAAGAACAGAAAAGCCATGATTAGTCAAATTGATATGGAAGCATCGTTGGGTAGTATAAAATGAAATTTGTTCAAATGAGCGCCCCCGGGGGTAGGGTGGGGCCACAATGGGGTATCAAATTTTTACAAATGAATATATGGGAAAAAATCCTCTGCTCAAGAACAGCAAAGTTATTTGTTATATTGATATGAAAGCATTGTCAGGTAGTTTAAAATCCCCCATCCCCCCTCTCTCCCCCGTTAACTTTTCAATACTGAACTGATTTTTGCTTTTTTCCTAGCCAATGTGCTCAGGTGAGCGATGTGGCCCATGGGCCTCTTGTTGCATTTACTGTCGATATGACATATAGCTCATCAACATGTGTCCAAAACCATTCAGGTCAGTAGCTGTAATCTCAATCCTCACATATTTATAATTCAAACAATATAAAAATGTTAAAGTTTGATTGTTCCATGTGGCCCCACCCTACCCTCGGGGTTGTAATTTGAACAGATTTGAATCTGCACTAACTGGGGTGTTTCAAAATTAAATATGTCTACTAGTAATTCTGACTGTTCTTAAGAACAAGATTTTCAAAAAAAAAATTCTTATACATTTCTATGAAAAATTGTTATCACCCATGTTGTTATCACCCAAAACATGATTTGAACAAAAAATCGGGCGCTTCTATAAAATAGGATTAATCATTGCTTCGTTGGTCTTGAGAAGAAGATTTTCAGATTTTTCTTAAACTACACTATGTAATAAAGCTTTTACATTTTAAGTTTCATCTTTTCTGACTAATTAAGTGTTTCTTGAGGGGATTTTTGAAAAATGCCATTAAATATTCACTTATTCTTAATTGTGGCTTTCATTTAAAAAAAACTTGAACACCCAAGGATGCACTGTGCCAAGTGTGGTTGAAATCGCCCCAGTGATTCTGGAGATTGAAAAGTTTACAAGGACAACGACGCCGAAAGACAGCTGACAGATTTTGATCAGAAAAGCTCACTTGAAACTTCGGCTCAGGTGAGCTAAAACTGGTTCAGATACCACTTTTAATTTTATTAGTTTCAAATAATCGTAACTTAAGAAAATATACATGATGTACAGCACTGTCACGGGAAAAGATGAAAATCAATGAACATTCTTAACATGTAACTGTGTATTTTTCGAAGTCGTGAAAGAAGGCAACCTTAGTTCAAAGAGTGCTACTCATCATTGAGGAAAAGGATATTACACTCCAGAAAAAGATAGAGCAGAATAAATGTCAAACATCCTCGCAAAATACATGGAAGGTAGATTACATACGAGACATAATGAGGAAGTGGTTTACAGTTTTCTTTTTTTCTCTGTGTGGGATTCAATGCTTTTATTAGTAATAGTTGTGTGTACACGTGTGGTTGATTGATTGTTTGCTTAAAGAATTTTTTTTACTTATGTTGGGACGCCACCATTTGCCAGTGGAAGGCTGCAAATTTAGACCTGTACTCGGAACTTGTGGCCATTGAGCAGTTAGGATCTTTTTCGTGACATCATTTTGAAAGAATTTTAATATTCTATAGTTGCACTTCACACACACAAAAAATGTGTGTTTCGAAGGAGGGGGGAAATTCATAAAAGTTGATTAAAAAATGTATGAGGCATTTATCTATCCCATGTCATAAACATACAGTAAGACTTCTTAAATTTAGGCATTCCTTTCGATCTTCTTTGTGTAAGGATTTTATCTCAGAAAAAAAAACCCACACGTATAATGTTTTGAGTGTTATTGTACAGGTCTTCTCACAATGTAACAAGGTCCTAGAAAAGAATACCTTTCGGCAATGTAGCCATACCGATAACATGCCGTTTTATTTCAAATTTACTGGGTGGGTGAATACAAAATTTACACGAAACATGTAAAAATATTGTGTAAATTCATTTTACCTCTATCCAATAAATTCAAAATTTACAACATGATCGGTAACTTATACGATCTCCACCAGTAACACTTACCTTTCCTTACTGTAACAACGCCCTCACTTCGTCGCTGGAATGACATGCAGACATATTTTGTTCTAAAATGAAAAGAAGATTTCAGAATACATCTCCTGTAACAAAAGGCCATATCAGAAAAAAGACCTGAAATTTGGCGACATGTGGCTGAACCGATCTGATGTTGGTGATCTCTGTTACAGAATGTGGGCTACTGAAAGGCTGAAGTGATGGGATTTTCTGTAAAAACTTTACATTCATAAATAATAATTAATTACTCAACTGTTTTAAGTCAGAATAAGTCAGTTAATTGAATTACTCGTCAAGTGTTCTTTTTGGTAAGTCACCAGTCACTCACACTCACAGTGTTCACGTTCAATAACGTTCATGTTACATTTTAATATTTACATGTTACGTACATCTCCGTCTATCAGTTATGAAAAGGGCTTCGGATTATTTGAATGTAATTTTTGGACAGAATAATGAAGTTATATTCCGTCTAAATTATTTGAAGGTTCATATTTGATTGAAATTTGAGACCATTGCATAGATTCTTCAACGAACACTACCATGCAAATAAAAAGAACATAAACTCCAAATAAGTTATTTTTGTTATCTACTATCAAACTAGTAAAACACAGTGTTATTCAGCAAAATTTAAATCTTACATATGAGTGGGTGTTCTCTTTATATTAATTTTTGTATATTGGTAATGAGTGTGGGTTTTAATTAAAGCAGGGAAATTCAAGATAACACGTGCAATACTTTTAGAGACTCTTCAACCTGTGGCTAGCGTTTATTTAATCATGTAAAGGGTATTGCACTAATAGTAAGCACAACTATAAAATAACAATATTTCCACTGGGCAAAATTTTCTTTTATTTTATATCAAGAAACAGCAAGTAAACACATCAAACACACAGACTGTAGTAGAGGAAGAAGCATTTCTTATCATGTGAGTTTTACCTTGTCTCCAAGGTCAAATACACATGTACTTTCTACCTTAGCATTCAAAACAAAATATTATTTATCAATTGCTGTTTTTATTATAGATACTAGCCTAAACACGAAGATTATTATTCATTACTTATGTTTAATGCATATTCTTTTTTATTTGCATAATATAATTATTGTTCAATGAAGAATGACAGCATTAAGTTCAAAGAACTGCGAACGATAGCATTGTTCTCCCGCCTACCTCCAAGTCGATTTTCAAAAGTTAACATATTTTGATGATTTTTCATATTTATATACATATTTATATGAATTTTCATAAAACATTACTTCTGTGGGAAAACAAAGAGAGGTAACTCTATAATTTGGGTAAAACTTGTGCTTTTCACAATAGAAATCAACGGAAAATATATTTAAAACATCCCCCCCCCCGTGAAACAAAAATTCCTTTTTACACGTAATATGGACTGTCATTTTACAAATTCATACCAAAGCTTTTTGTGTTTCAGGGGGGGGGGGGGGGTTATGTTTACAGACAAAAAAATTCAAAAATGCTTATTTTTTTCACCAATTTCAAAGGGTTTTACGACTGAAATATTGTATTTTTTAAATAATATATGTTTTATTTTATATGCGTAAAACATAAGAAAAGATTTTAGGAACATTTATTCATATCGAAGAATATTTTATAATGTGTTGATGCTTTAAAGCCCGATTTCAATGGAAAATATCGTCTACCCCCCTCATTTAAAGAGCTGGAATTATGTGTAATTAACTATTTAACACTGGCAGTAAAATTATCAGTCAATTACCAATTAACTGTTCTTTGCATTTAACAAAGATTTTACTGTCAAATTGTCATTGGTATTAAATTAAATGGGTTTAAAATGTAGGCGGGAATCGAGAGTTAGCGTGCGTAGTTCTTTGACTCAACATGAGCCTTTCAGAAAGTTAACCTTTATTTATCCCTGTGATACATCTTCTCTAAAATAAAATGTCAAAAAAGTTGAGATTATTCATCTTTGTTGTATACACGAAGTTGGTCGCCTCTTAATCAGAGTTTCCTTCAAGAATTTCTTATAAGTAATGAGTTAAATTGAAAAAATATTGCTAATGCATAATAATATTTTTTAAAAAGTCATTGTCAGCCAGGATGTTTTTTTTATCTAACAAAGGGTGAGTAATTTCTCAAAGTCAAACTATTTCAAATCTCCATTCTTGCCGACCAGGTACTGATCTCTGATTTAAAAGGGTAAGCAGGTACACATACTTGTGTGTGTGGTATATATTTTGTGGTAAATTGAGTCCTGGTTGGATTTGTTTAATTGAGTTGGACTTTACTGTCATATTCTGAATTATTTCTTTTATATTTCTGTCAGGATGACTGCAATGAAATTGATTAGTTAGCTTCAGTATTTAATTTCCTGTGCTTACAGAATGTGAAAAGGAAGGAGATGGAAGTATCTAATTGCAAAAATATCTTCCCAGTAATTCATCGTAAATTAGAGGGTGCTGGCAATTCATTCACTAATTAGAACTTATCGCAGCAACTAGCTGGAGATTTTGATGGGGGTAAATTGTAGGCCGCAGAATTTATGCCGCAGAAATCATATTTTAACATTTTTTTATCAAGAGAATACTTTTAAAACTACGTATGATTTCTTTTATGTGCAAAACCTCTTCCAATGAAAATAGATTAGACAAGCAAAATGGTGGAGAAAATAGTAATTTAAAAAATATCGCTACAGTTGTTTTAAATATTGCTTTAAAATCGGAGTGTGAAGTTGAAATTGGAAGATAAATCTTGAAAAAACTATAGGAGAAACTAATGACAGTTTCCTCTTGACCACGTACACGTATTTCATTAACATTAAAAAGGGAAAAATTCATTATTTTTTTTTCTGACCATAAGATACCTCGATATTACATATTATATTTTTTTCATATTAAAAAAATCCTTTTTTTCCGATATCAGCAACATCGTATAATCACCAAATATTCATAATTTAATAAATATGACCGACTTTTTTATCCGATCATCATCAAATTCAACATTTCTGCCTTTTTCAGACTGTCAAGGTACCAGATTACAGTTTTATTTTGCTTCGTATTTGTAAATAATTCAATATTAAGGTGATGTTCTACCCTGTGACGTGCTGTTCCAGCAGTCGGTACGTGTAGAGACCGGCGGTTTCGTTTGCCGAGTCCACGGTAAGACACGTCCGGTTGTAGGACAACGTTTTCTCGCCACATCTTTCTGACGACGTAATTTTATTGGAGAGTCGCCTGGACTTTGATTCACATGTCCTATAGAATTCTTGTCGGATCTGCCACATGTCAGAGCCCGTGACGTAAATTTCACTGAGTTGTTGTATTTGGGGGTTGGTACTGATTTGGAACCAGTGCGTTTTGGTTTTCCAGGGTTTCAAAAGTCCGGTCTCCTCGTCCATAGCACTTATGAGGAACTTAGGAAATGTACATTCAGACCCACATTCTGAAGGGAAAAAAGCATAATACTCCTTTAAATGAAATATATCAGTTCTCTAGGTTTTCTAATTGAACTTTGGTTTAACGTAGACAATAAAATGCTTTCTTTGGTTGTTAGTACAGGAATTAATACCGCAGCTGTTGCAGAAAAAAATACATAACCCGCGTAAAAGGGTTATGTGAATTTTTTCTGCAATAGCTGCGACGTTAATTCCCGTACTAACAAACAAAGAAAGACATTTTATTGTTTATATTTATATCTTTTTAAAGAAAGACATTCAAAGTAAATTGAATATGTTAATTATTGTATTATAGATGTGTATGGCATTGTATGCATAATTGATGGAACAGCCATTGCTTAAGAAATCTATGCAGGTGACTTGCTTAGTGTTGTTTATGGACTGATTAACGGCAATGGTTTTATAAGAAATAAAGGAAATAATACTCAGTGGATGTAAATATATGTTCACTCTGCTAGTGTCAAACACTCTTTTGATCTGCAAATGTACCGTCTATTTATTCAAACTATACTACAAAATTTTTCACTAAGGCAATATTTAATGGCTTTGATTTCTTTGTTACAACTAAGATTTTTAATCAGAAGGAACTACTTGAGAATGAAGTAAATTATGTTTCCTATCATGCTATATACATGTACATACTCTTCAATGTAAATATACATGTACATGTCACACGGCCATAACGGTCTCCAGATTATAATTGTGAAAATTTACATAAATTTCTGCTTGAAAACTAAGATGCATCTATTTAAACTTTAAAAGAAAACTTCTGGGAATAATTACTCAAAATATCTTCAGAGATTATAATTTATTAATAACTTAACTGATTTAGCTTTAAAGGTACCAAGCTTTATTAAATATTGTCACTTTTTCAGCCATCTTCCACTCTTGACTATTTTTGTCCCCCGCTTTCACTGAAAGTCGGGGATATTAAATTCAGTCTGTTTTTCCGTCCATCCGTCTGTCTGTAAAACTTTGTTTCCGCACGATATCTCAAGAAACCTTTGAGCGTTTGCAATGAAATTTTACATAGCAACTCCCTATGGCCTAGAAAAGACCCCTATTTATTTTGAGGTCAAAGGTCATAAATTCTGTCTGTTTTAACACTTTCGTTTCCGCGTGATATCTCGAGAAGCCTTTATTGCAAGTTTTTGCTATGAAAGGATGAATCTCTAGAACGCCATTTTCCGGCCTACGATAAAATCACTTAAGAATGTGATTTTATGTAACTTTAATCATTCTATTTCATGATTTTGATGTTTGTTTTTCAACATCGATCACCTAAGTCACGTGATTTAGAGATTACAAATGGCTGTCAATTAAAGAAAAATTGAGCTTAGGTCTATTTACATCAAGCTTCTATGCATGTTTCTGAATGTAAATGATCAAAAATTGTTTATGTCGGAAACATATTGGACTTAAGTAATAAATGCGAAGATTGTTTAATTTTAGGCTTAAAATATATTTTTATAACAAGAGTTTTGATGCATTCACATTTTGCATATTTTGAATGTAAATCTTTACAAAATGCACCTCGTATGATGTTGAAAAATGTTTAATTAGGATTTAATTAAAAGTATTATTTCATGTTTGTTTATATTGTAATTGTGTATTGTTTCTATAGATGTGGCACCTATTTTACGCATAAAATGCCCATGTAAGAAATGAGGTTTCTAAGCTTCTGATGAACTATAAAAGTAGTGTATCAAATGTTGAAAGCATTGAATGGATTTTGTTTGTGATTAAATAAAAATTAAGTTGTAATCAATAAAATAATTTCTACATTTGCAAAAAATAAGAAATCATTAATTTACAGGATGAAAATATTTATGCAATTACATGTTGACTATTCATTCAAATAGTCAGTACATAAAACTCAGAACGGTTGTATTAAAAATATATATATCGACGTAAAATGAAATAACATCGTAAGAATTGCTTTGATTTCATTTAATTACACATGTAAAACAATATATTTAATTAAAAAACCTATCTAAACTATAATACATAAATGTATGTATAAAAGTCGACCCCCCCCCCCCATTTTCTACGGCACTCTGTAAAATGGAGTAGATTTTCAACAGTTCCTAATTCCACTACGCATATCAGAAGTTTTAGTATATATCCTTGGACTAACAAAGTTCTACACGTCCCAGGTACAAAATGGGCCCTAAGGGTTTGACGCTCCTTTCGCACCCTTGAAACCTAAGGGTTAAATTTCCTTTTCCCAGTGCCGCGTCAAAAACTAAGGTGTTTAACACGGGTAGTGACAGTTCCTTTGTAAAATCCTCAGCATTAAAAGTAAATCATCTTTAAAAAGGAGGTCCCGTCCCAAGGTAAGCGTTGGTCAATAATGAAACCATGCATAAATCAAACTTTGATACTTCACCTTAAATGGATGATCTCTTTATCTGAGTGAATAATTCTAAAATGGCGTAAAGCAACATTCAGTTTTCAATCACATGTGACATTTAGGAACCCCTCTCCTCCTTGGCATTTTATTTTCTAAGACAGAACAGCTGTTCTCGTAACTTATATTGATGCTACCAAAGATGTGTGGTAAAAAGACTGAGTCCTCTCATCACCCAGTTAACAAAATACATGGATCCCATGTCACTCATACGGAAAAGTGTCCTTGTAAAAGGTCGAGGCGAAAATTCCCATTATGAAACCATCCCATTGGAAATTCCCTATCTATATAAGTTACATGTGTACCCATAGAAAAATAATTCTATAACACAAATAGCAAATGAATCTTCTCGCTACAACAAAGATAGCTTTTATCATTTCTAGAACTAACAGATATGCAGTACCCCTAAGGAAAAGTAGCATAGATAAACTAAAGTATCATTATAAATAATACTAATTATTATAATAAATAACTTACATTCACGCCTTATAGTCTATAAAAAGTTTTTTTTGTTTGTTTTCGTTTTTAATTTCTAGCAGATAATTCAATGAGACTTGTCTTCACGTGTAATTTCATTACATCCAGTCATTTCAGTCCTTTGATTTTAGATTTTTTAAAGTAAAAAGTTGATATTTTTTGAGTAAACATGCATGGCTTATAACAATTCTTAGTAAATCAATAGAAATATGTACTTTAAGTGAAAGTTTATAATGGACTTTTGCGAGAACACTAACTTTTACAGTTGACGGCTTACTTTGACATTTAAACAGGCGTTATGTACGGAGATACGGAATTGATGATATATAAGAAAACATAAATAATGGTTAAAGTTATGGTATTATGGGCACGTACATCATTTACCAACACCAGACATTATTGGAGGTAGAATAAAATTACTTAAAATGTCTTATTCATGAGAGATAGAATCCCTTTTTATTTTCATTTTCTTCAGGGACTAAATATTGAAGAAAAAACATTCCGGAAGGAAAATTTGGCAGGATTTGGTTAAGTTGGAAAGGGAGGAGGTTGTTTGTATGTCAGTTGCTTCTCCCTTCCTAGACAACGTAATATGGGCTTTGAAATGGCCGATTATTATCAATTTAGTAAATGCTAAGGTAAACATTTATATCGCAAAAGAGGTTCCGTACATTTTCCTAGTGTAAAAGTAAGTTGTCGATTGTAAAAGTCAGCGCTTCTCGCAAAAGTCCAATAAGAAATAATCTACATAAGCTAATATCCTTTATTATGAGTAGTTAGCTTTTCCTGCAAATATCGTAAAAATGAAGCGAAAAGTTTTAATTTACATGTCATAACCACCTTTAACCAAGTTCATAATTTGGTAGTCACTTTTTATGTTTATTAGAAGTTTACAAACAAATTTTGGTGTTGGTTAAAGGTGGTTATGACATGTGTAGGAGTTACCTAACACACCCACCCTCTTGAGTTTTCCCATTACCTTAATGCTAATACGGACCGATAGTACCTTACTTTGTGACCCCATATCATAACAAATACTATTGTATCTTTAACCAATCAACATTTATCAATAAATTGGAACATTCGCCTACTGATTCATGCAGTTTTTAAGGGAAAAAGTACTATTTGAAAATTTGAAGTCTTAAAGAGAATGATCCTTTATACCACAACTGCCTATGGCCTAAGGAAAATCCCTATTGATTTTGAGGTCAAAAGGTCAAAAGTCAAGGTCTTAAATTAATACATTCTGTCTGTGTAACACTGTCGTTTCTGGGCGATATCTCAAGAAGCTTTTGAGCCTTTGCAATGAATTTTTTTAACCATAAGTCCCTCTGAAAGTGTCCCGCCCCCTTCTTTTTTCAAAAGTCAATTGGAAATTTGTTGGCATCGATCACGCGCAAAGTTGTAGATGTGGAGAGTTATTATATATAATATGTTATACAAGTTGTCGCCAGATTTTTTATTCCAATTACATCTATTAGAACTGTTTAGTAAAGTTAAATTAGACACCATGTGTTATGTAAAATTTTTACAATATCGAAGGTGAATATAAATATGTATATGTGATCTGCTTTTTGACTTTAATTTACTTCATTGTCAAGCGCCTCGTTGATGTAGGGTTCTCGCTTAGCATCTTCTGTACACATTTTAAAGAATAAGCAATCAAATCTATATAATCAGATTGGCATTTTTTAAACCTAAGGGTTAAATTTCCTTTTCCCAGTGCCGCGTCAAAAACTAAGGTGTTTAACACGGGTAGTGACAGTTCCTTTGTAAAATCCTCAGCATTAAAAGTAAATCATCTTTAAAAAGGAGGTCCCGTCCCAAGGTAAGCGTTGGTCAATAATGAAACCATGCATAAATCAAACTTTGATACTTCACCTTAAATGGATGATCTCTTTATCTGAGTGAATAATTCTAAAATGGCGTAAAGCAACATTCAGTTTTCAATCACATGTGACATTTAGGAACCCCTCTCCTCCTTGGCATTTTATTTTCTAAGACAGAACAGCTGTTCTCGTAACTTATATTGATGCTACCAAAGATGTGTGGTAAAAAGACTGAGTCCTCTCATCACCCAGTTAACAAAATACATGGATCCCATGTCACTCATACGGAAAAGTGTCCTTGTAAAAGGTCGAGGCGAAAATTCCCATTATGAAACCATCCCATTGGAAATTCCCTATCTATATAAGTTACATGTGTACCCATAGAAAAATAATTCTATAACACAAATAGCAAATGAATCTTCTCGCTACAACAAAGATAGCTTTTATCATTTCTAGAACTAACAGATATGCAGTACCCCTAAGGAAAAGTAGCATAGATAAACTAAAGTATCATTATAAATAATACTAATTATTATAATAAATAACTTACATTCACGCCTTATAGTCTATAAAAAGTTTTTTTTGTTTGTTTTCGTTTTTAATTTCTAGCAGATAATTCAATGAGACTTGTCTTCACGTGTAATTTCATTACATCCAGTCATTTCAGTCCTTTGATTTTAGATTTTTTAAAGTAAAAAGTTGATATTTTTTGAGTAAACATGCATGGCTTATAACAATTCTTAGTAAATCAATAGAAATATGTACTTTAAGTGAAAGTTTATAATGGACTTTTGCGAGAACACTAACTTTTACAGTTGACGGCTTACTTTGACATTTAAACAGGCGTTATGTACGGAGATACGGAATTGATGATATATAAGAAAACATAAATAATGGTTAAAGTTATGGTATTATGGGCACGTACATCATTTACCAACACCAGACATTATTGGAGGTAGAATAAAATTACTTAAAATGTCTTATTCATGAGAGATAGAATCCCTTTTTATTTTCATTTTCTTCAGGGACTAAATATTGAAGAAAAAACATTCCGGAAGGAAAATTTGGCAGGATTTGGTTAAGTTGGAAAGGGAGGAGGTTGTTTGTATGTCAGTTGCTTCTCCCTTCCTAGACAACGTAATATGGGCTTTGAAATGGCCGATTATTATCAATTTAGTAAATGCTAAGGTAAACATTTATATCGCAAAAGAGGTTCCGTACATTTTCCTAGTGTAAAAGTAAGTTGTCGATTGTAAAAGTCAGCGCTTCTCGCAAAAGTCCAATAAGAAATAATCTACATAAGCTAATATCCTTTATTATGAGTAGTTAGCTTTTCCTGCAAATATCGTAAAAATGAAGCGAAAAGTTTTAATTTACATGTCATAACCACCTTTAACCAAGTTCATAATTTGGTAGTCACTTTTTATGTTTATTAGAAGTTTACAAACAAATTTTGGTGTTGGTTAAAGGTGGTTATGACATGTGTAGGAGTTACCTAACACACCCACCCTCTTGAGTTTTCCCATTACCTTAATGCTAATACGGACCGATAGTACCTTACTTTGTGACCCCATATCATAACAAATACTATTGTATCTTTAACCAATCAACATTTATCAATAAATTGGAACATTCGCCTACTGATTCATGCAGTTTTTAAGGGAAAAAGTACTATTTGAAAATTTGAAGTCTTAAAGAGAATGATCCTTTATACCACAACTGCCTATGGCCTAAGGAAAATCCCTATTGATTTTGAGGTCAAAAGGTCAAAAGTCAAGGTCTTAAATTAATACATTCTGTCTGTGTAACACTGTCGTTTCTGGGCGATATCTCAAGAAGCTTTTGAGCCTTTGCAATGAATTTTTTTAACCATAAGTCCCTCTGAAAGTGTCCCGCCCCCTTCTTTTTTCAAAAGTCAATTGGAAATTTGTTGGCATCGATCACGCGCAAAGTTGTAGATGTGGAGAGTTATTATATATAATATGTTATACAAGTTGTCGCCAGATTTTTTATTCCAATTACATCTATTAGAACTGTTTAGTAAAGTTAAATTAGACACCATGTGTTATGTAAAATTTTTACAATATCGAAGGTGAATATAAATATGTATATGTGATCTGCTTTTTGACTTTAATTTACTTCATTGTCAAGCGCCTCGTTGATGTAGGGTTCTCGCTTAGCATCTTCTGTACACATTTTAAAGAATAAGCAATCAAATCTATATAATCAGATTGGCATTTTTTATTTGCTTCATCATACACATTTAATAATTCTGCAAATCGAGGGGGAGGGGTTCCGACCTCCCCCCTTTAGATCTACACATGCTCTTCTTTTTTCCAAATGCTGGGGACACAAAATCTCTGAATTAGCTTGTGCCTATTGCTATTATTATATTTCAATATTTATCAGTAATGTATATTGTTCGCCAGTCAATTGTCTCTATGTTTCGGTTTGGTTATAACAATTTAACTTGGCAGCCAGAATTCTTCCTACTGACTACAGTAAGTGTAAATCCAACGACAGCATTTCAGAGTTCTCTTTTTGCCGGAAAGTTTAGCCTCAAGAGCCCTGGTGATCATAAATTGATTTTAAGCTACGGTAAGCTTTCGATAGAGTGAACCCTACTACTGAAAATTCATAAAAGTCAACAATAGGGGTCATGATCGCGATAGCCACTGCTGCTTTTTTTCCTTCGAAATGAAACGGGGCTGGTATACAACTTCTGAAAACGGTTTGTCAGATTTGCCCTATAATAAAGAACCCTAGACGCTTGATCTCAATGATAAACCAATTAAGCAAATCGTGATATACTATAATTCATTAATGATGTGTTTATGTGTATACAATATTGACCTTTTATAATTCAGTAAGAAATAAGCATAATGCAAACAGGGACAGGATGAAACCACGTGGGACCAGTTTTCACGTGATTATACCGAGATCTTGCGTGACCATCTGTCGTTCTTGACCAAGTAACATCCCCGATCGTAAGAAAACAATCGAACAACGTTTGTCTAGTAGATAATGTGTAATGTGTATTATCATAAGTATCATATATACCAAAGAAAGATCATATTATTCAGCAACAATCCGCAAAATCACGACCGACTGATCCAATATGGCGTCTCTTGGTTATGTATTGACTTTAGGAATCCCAAAGAAAAAAAACAGCCTCGTTCGAATTTCTTAGAAATGGTCTCACAAGGAAAACTCGATTAAGCTAAATGGCATTCAAGAAATTAGATCTACGACTTTTACAATAGTTGCTTTAATGTGATTGGTCGTGTTCTTCTTGGCGAAAGAACGCCAGGCCATATAATCGAGTTAGAGTCTAACTAACAGTGATTACTCGGGACGGACGGGCGCTAAATGAATGCCCCTCGTAAAGAGTCGGCTTCTGCTTGTCTGACCAAATCAACTTCAGGCGTATCACGTTTGTGGAGGGTTAAGTCCCTCCTCAGTAACGACGGATACCGCTTCCCTTTGTGGATTCCAGGCTTCACGCACCGATAATCAAGTCTTTGTCAGAACTATTTTCATGTATCATTTTTCTTTTTATCGTTGTAAT